GAACTTGCCAAGCACGGTCAAATGAGCGTTTATGAAATTTTGTTTAAACAAATTTCATGTATAACGTTACTGTATCACCATGTAACTTACTGACTTTTCCTATAATATTATATTACATACAAGCCATTTTTCAATATTTACAACTTACTGTTATTCACTTGTTTATTATCCAATTAGCTAAAATCTCTTTCTATATTATGATACATACTTTATTTTAAAGCGGTCATTTGACCGCTCATGGTAGGATTTTTAATTAGTGATAATGAAATGGTAACCTCACCCGCGTTATCGCTATATACCGACGGGGCACCAGTGAAGGATAATAGGTGAGAATGAAGCAGGTCAGTCAGCCCATCGTGACAAATTCAACAATTGTTCACCAAGGGGAACCATGTGGAGATCGACCTAATAGGGAATATTGCTAGTAATGGGGTTGTCAAACTCCATTGCTAATAATCCCATTCCCCCCCTCATGGTAGGATTAGGTATATATGAAATGTCGGTAGGTTTAATGTTTTTTTTTAATGGGTGAAAATGACATGGTAGCCCCGCCTGCGTTATTGGTATACACTGGCGGGGTATCAGTGAGAGGTGATAGTTGAGGATGAAAAGGCAGGTCAGTAAGCCCATCGTGACGAATACAACGTTTAACACGTTCACGCCGGGACCAACTTTAATGTTTTTTGCTGTGAGGCGGCGCTCTAATTAATGCTATTAGCACAATCTAATACGTACTACCGGTGGTACGCGCCGCCAGAAAAGAAAGTCTAGTGCGGGCCATCGATGGTACGCGCCGCCAGATAAGACAATCTAGTGCGTACCGCCGGTGGTACGCGCCGTCCAATGAGACAGTCTAGCGCGGGGCACCGGTGGCCCGCGCCGGCGTGAACGTATTAGTCACGATAGTTTCGCGTATACGTTCACGATAGTTTAGGGGAATCGCGTGGAGGTCGACCTGTTAGGGTATATTGATAGCAATAGATAGATAGATAATGTTATTTGCATTACTTACAGCATACAAATTACAACATACATACATAAAAAAAGTTAAAGTTTAGTGTTAAGAAATAAATGATGTTTTAATCCGCTGTCCGCCTGTGACGTACACCACACGCGCACTACATGGAATTGATTGAGATGAGGACTAATCTAATGTTAATTGAACTGTTTAACGGGTCTCAGTCTAATAGGCCTGCTGCGGCTAGCGGTGGTTTCGACGTTGCTCACTTTAAATTGCATACAACACTAACATTTACCTACGACTTGCGTCTGCTTTCTCAAAGATTTATTCATGATACTTGCAATGGCAGACAAGCTGACGACATACCTGATGCAAAAAGGTAACTGTCATCAATAGACATGACAGTAGCATGGATATAACAGAATATACTGTGTCGCCTACGGTGCGCTTCATTGACAAAAAATCATTGAAATCTTTTTTGAAGTCGGTTAATAAAATAATCATCAATCAAATGACTGTAATCAAATTGACGTGCGCCATTAGCCGTATGTATAATAATCATTGAAATTACTCGACGTGCATCGTAGATATACTATACTTATAATAAATCACTAGAGAGGTCAATTCTGTACATGAAATATATTTCCAAAATAACTATCAGGAGGTGATTAGTGATCGATACTGATGCCAAAAATGCAATCAGTAAAATTTTTGTCTGTCTGTCTGTATGTTCGTTATAGAAACAAAAACTACCCGACGGATTTTAACGAAACTTGGTACAATTATTCTTCATACTCCTGGGCAGGTTATAGTATACTTTTCGGCTAGTATACAATATAAACATGACTAGACATACGTATATATACGAGTAGTAATTATTAATATTCGATAATAGATAAACAAACTCACTTTCACATTTATAATATTATAAATGTGAAAGTGAGTTTGTCTGTTTATCACAAAGTATAAAGACGTTATGTGCTCAAACATTTGTCGTAAAATATTTTTATCGCGTATTGTTTGTAAATATTATAAATTAATGAACAGTTCGTTATTTTATTTATGATAAAAATCGTAATCAAAACTGTATTTTTTTTTATAGGTGAAAATGGTATGGAACCCCGCCTGCGCTAACGGGATACGCTGGCGGAGCACCAGTGAAGTGTGATAGATGAGAATGAAAACAGGCCAGTTAGCCCATCATGATGACTTCATCAGGAATTAACCATGATAAAATTCCAAATATAACCTAAAATTTTTAGGGTATATTTTTTGAACTAATATTGTTATTCTCAGTTCCATTACCAAAATCCAAAAACTATATATTAAAAACAATTTGTAGTATATACAGTACACGAATAAAATCATATATATACATAATTTCTTTTTGTATATTAACGGTTAATGTAAAAATGGCTAGACTAATAATGATGAAATGTTTACAATATATTAAGTTAAATATGATTCAACATATATCTTAGTCTTTCCATTGACTAGGTTTATGTTGGTATCTATTCTTTTCCAAATCCGTTACATTTATTACGCCATCTGTTGTTAAATACAGACAGTACTCGATTCGACGTAAAAACGAAATTGTATAAAATAATGTGCAAAATTAATTTACACACTCGAATGAAGTCACGGGCATAGCAAATAAACACACACACACACACACACACACACACACACACACACACACACACACACACACACACACACACACACACACACACACACACACACACACACACACACACACATTATATGATGTTATATTGTATGTGTGTTAATATCTTTAATAGACAAATGGAGATACTTCCCAATTCGTCTGTATTTTGTATTGTTCTATGTTTTAATAATTAATAAAATTAAAAATATAATAAAATTTTTAGGGTAATTTTTTGAACTAATATTGTTATTAATATTTGTTCAATTCTTCTCAAAATTCAAAATTCAATTTTTATTAAAAACAATTTTGCATCGGTTTATCGTCCACTGCTGAACATAAGCCTCCCCCTTGGGGGGTTTCGCCAGTAGTTGCCACGCTTGGCAGGTGGATTAGCAACCGCTAATCCACAGCAGCTAGGTTTTGGAGATGTTTTAAGAGGGATGCTGCTGCTCAACCCTCGCCCTTCTTTAGTCGCCTCTTACGACACATACGGGAAAGGAAGGGGTGGCCTATTCTATGCCGGGACCAATTGGCGATGGTGGTATAACGGTTTATGTCATACAAAAACACACGCCCGCGCGCACGAGCGCCCTTACTCACACACACACACACACACACACACACGCACGCACGTACACACGCACGCACGCACGCACGAGCGCGCACACACACATACACAAACACACACACACACGCACGTACACACGCACGCACGCCCGCACGAGCGCGCACATACACATACACACACACACAAACACACACACACACACACTCACACACACACACACACACACACACACACACATATGTATAGATATGTGTGTGTGTGTGTGTTTGTGTGTTTAAGCATAAGAGATAAGAAACATAAAAAAATATAAGCGAATTTAGAATATTTTCTTTATTTGAAGTTGGTAAAAAAGCCTTCATCCTGTAACATAATTTAAATTATAACAAGAATAACAATAACTCTTTTATATCCATATTTATTGTACACATCATGGCCAAATGTCTATAATTACGACCATGTACTTTTATACACATTTTGTTTATGGAATAAAAGTATTTGTGTTAATTAAATTAATTATAATAAAGCATGGTATAGGCCAATAATGGGGTTTAAAGGTCAGATGTTTGTTCTCGTTTTCATAATTATGGTCAATTATATTTAATTAAGGATGAATAAATTTTTACTGTCCATTAATTAATCTGTACGCTGTTGCGACAATACAAATAGGTTTCAACCGTGAATTATTAACACCCGAGTCCTCAGGAATGGCAACGCATGGGGGGTATCATGGGCGAAACAGTATACTCTGTTATGTCCATGGTACTGCTCATGTCTATAGGCGACGGCTACCACTTTCCATCAGGTGGGCCGTCAGCTTGTTTGCCATTCTAAGTTGTATAAAAAAAAATGTGCAATGCACATGTTATATTCAAAATGATAATTGTCGTGACATACGACCTTTGTATCAATGTCGGAAATTTTTCAAATTCATGTCTGTAAGGTTGCCCATTTAACCTGAACCAGTCTGACCACTTTATTGAGCAATAAGTGTATTGTATGTGACAATGGTGTGGTCATGTGGTCCCCGGCATAGAACAGACCACCCCTTCCGGGGGGAACTGGATTGTTAGTTATGGAGACTGAGAGTCCCATTGCTAGCAATATACCCAACCAGGTCGACCTCCTCGCGGTTCTCCTGGAAACTCATGATTAATTCCTGATGAATTCATCATGATGGGCTGACTGGCCTGTTTTCATTCTCATCTATCACCCTTCACTGGTGCTCCGCCAGCGTATCCCGTTAGCGCAGGCGGGGTTACCATACCATTTTCCCCCATAAAAAAAAGATCACCCCTTTCGGGGGGAAAGGGATTGTTAATAATGAAGATTGAGAATCCCATTGCTAGCAATATACCCAACCAGGTCGACCTCCTCGCAGTTCCCCCTGGAAACTATCATGGTTAATTCCTGACGAATTCATCATGATGGGCTAACTGGCCTGTTTTCATTCTCATCGATCACACTTCACTGGTGCCCCGCCAGCGTATACTGATAGCGCAGGCGGGGTTACCATACCATTATCATCCATTAAAAAGACTACCCCTTCTTATCCCGTGGGTGTCGTAAGAGGCGACTAAGGGAGAGCGAGAGATGGGCAGCAGCGTCCCTATTAAAACGTCTCTAAATCCTAACTGCGGTTGCCAATTCACCTGTCAAGCGTGACAATTACTGCCAAAACCCCCCAAGGGGGAGGCTTATGTTCAGCGGTGGACTGTTAAAGGCTGATATAAACATTATCATGTACATCTACTTAGTACTAAATACAGACGAAGCGTTGACGAGTAAAACAATATATTGTTTACCTTATAAACAGACGTAAACAAGATGGCGTCGTCTCCAAGACTAATCTGTAACAAACAAATATTGAAATCATTAGATTATTATATATAAAACTATAAGAATATATATATATATATATATATATATATATTTATTAATATAATTATCAATTAGAATGCATAACTTATAATGCATCTAGAAGCGTAAATTATGTTATACTCGTACAATGCAGGTGCACGATGTACACTCGAGTAAGCGGGTCAATGCGAACTCACGTGTGGATTGATTCGGCCACTCATTTGTTTCAAGGCGACGCAATTTGCGATTGATTATACATATATATAAGTACATATACACTTTATAAATTGATTTTATATATATATATATATATATATATATATATATATAATAATAGTTTTTACGGATTAATAATAAAATGTAACCTATATCCTTTTCTATTATTTCTATATTTTAAATGAAATGGGCTAGTTTTAATTTTTTGTACCCTGCCATTTTTTTTAACAAAGTAAAATCCTAACTAAAAACTGTTACGGAACCCACCACACGCGAGCACCACTGACACTTGCCTATGTTTTTATTATATTTATCCTGAGCCCTTAAAACGACAATATACTATTTGTTATATTAATGGAATAACCATTTTATGTGCGTCTGGTCATTTTATAAAAGGCACAGGTGATATTAAATTGTCGATTTATAATGCTGTAAAACTGTCCGGCTGGGCTGAATCGCTCTCGTCCAGTTTTATTATGGTTTAACCCTTTTTAAATAATAAACAGTGGGTTTTACGCGTGTAAAGTTATAATTTACTTTCAATAATAATAGACTAGTTAAATAGATTTCGGATAGATAGATAGACATATATTCAAATTAAATTCGAATTCAAATCATTCTTATTCCTATATTCTTGTTTACAAGCACTTTTAAATCGTCAATTTTTTTAAATTTTTTTTTCTACGACTTAGAATGGCAAACGAGCTGACGACCCACCTGATGGAAAGTAGTAACCGTCACCTATAGACATGAGCAGTACCATGGACATAACAGAGTATACTGATTCGCCCATGATACCCCCCATGCGTTGCCATTCCTGAGAACTCAGGTGTTATTCCTCTGTACCCTGTAAATTCACGCCATATCCTACCCTTCAAACCGAAACACAGCCATACAAACACAACTGCTTCACGGTTGAAACACGAATGGGACAGAGGTACCCAAGTAAACGACTTTTGTACAAAGTCTCCCTCTGAAATTAGTCTCAAGAATGAAGTATATGTGTATAGCTCTCTGAAATAAAGCTCATGTCTATAGGCGACGATTACCACTTTCCATCAGGTGGGCCGTCAGCTTGTTTGCTATTCTAAGTTGCATAAAAAAAGTCCTTATTTGTGAATACGTACAATAACTATTAGCCGTTAACTGTCCACTATTAAACATAGGTCTCCCCCTATTGGAGGGGTTTCACCAGTAGTTGCCAAGCTTGGCAGGCGGGTTGGCGACTACAGTTGGGCTTTGGTGATATTTTAAGAGGGAAACTGCTGTCCAAATCACGAGCATTAAGTTCCCTTAGTCGCCTTTTACAGGTCCTCTTAGATGTGGCCCATTCTATGCCGGGACCACACGGCGGTATTCCAATATATATACATATATGAGTTATTTCAACAATAATTGTTATTAACAAGGGTTTTGACCTTGTTTGTGGTCCAATATCATAAGCGGAGCGGAATACTTATAATACAAATTATCCTAGCTTGAGCAGGTGATTTATATAATTGTGTGGCAAAAAATATGGTAATATAAGATCTTTGAAATCGATTAAAATCTTTCGATTTGTATTTTGTTTTTCAACCGATTTCAAAAAGAAGGAGGTTCACAATTCGGTCGCACGTATTTTTTTTGTTTGTTACTACTTAATTCTTTTTTTATCTGAATGGATATACTTACAGATTGGTCCCATAGAAATTTTATCAAATTTGGTTCAGTAGTTTAGTTTTTAGATCAAAATAACTGGTTTTGTCAGAATAGTATTTCCGAACCGATACGACAACATAACCTTCAAGAAAAGAGCATATTATTCCTTTTTAAAAGTCCGGCAGCACACCTGCAATGCCGCTGGTGTTGTGGGTGCCATGGGCGGCGATAGTCATTTACCATCAGGAGAGCCGCATGCTCGTTTGCCCCCTGTGTTGTAAAAAAAAAGTCTGTTTTTTGTGGGACACAATCCTTAATTATAATAGGTATGATAATATTAATATTTAATTTGTTTTTTTTTTTTTTTAATTTCTGGTAAATAACTTTTACTCAAGTAAACTTAAAAATAAACATTTTTGAATCGTTTTTTTACGAATCTACCGCCCAGTTCGGAATACAATTTCAGCTGAGAAGAACGATCAAGAAATACAGCTGTTGCTTTTTTTCTCAAATAAAAGTTAAGTTTACAACAAAAAAAAAAATGAATTTTTAAAATAACTATTACAAATTTCTTTAATATTGATAAAAAGATAGAAAATAAAAAGCTACAAAGCTACAAACAATCACAGTATTCTTGAACAGACCAATCCTTACTTTTTAATTATGAAAAAGTTTATAACTTGCACCACGCGTCTACCCATTAATGATAGTGACCGATAGAAGAGCAAAGGTCTCCAATGGTCATACAATTGTATGATATATGAACCGTCCCTCTGATTACAGACTCGTCTGGTAGATACCGTTGGCTTGGCTCTATGGTCTGTGGAGATGCGAGCTGTACTCTATGGTCATAAGTATTATTTAACCTGTGCTGTGGGGCCGCCATTTGTAAAATTAATGTACGCGTAAATTATAGAATTGTATCTAAGTTGTGGCCTGATGCTTATAAGATTTTATTGAGAAGCTTATGGCTGGTGTGTGTTTTTTTTAATGGACGATAATGGAATGGTAACCCCGTCAGCGCTATCGGTATACACCGGCGGGGCACCAGTGAAGGATGATAGGTGAGGATGAAGCAGGTCAGTTAGCCCATCGTGACGAATTCAACGATAAATTAGTCACCAGAGGGAGACTTTGTACAAAAGTCGATTGCTTGGGTACCTTTGTGTTGTGTTTGTGTTTGTTTGTTAGCAAACAAGCTGACGGCCCACCTGATGGAAAGTGGTAACCCTCGCCTATAGACATGAAAGAAGAATTTATATATATATATATATATATATGTATATATAATAAAAATATACATGTTTCAAAGCATTTATAAACATACGAAGACCTTGTTTAAAATACTATTAAAGCTCGTGCTTGCCGTAATACAAACATACAGACAACCGCGGTGTCGAAAGTGACAATTGACGTATTTGCTAATACTATTCGGTCGCCGTATAACGCGTCTACTGTAATTCGGTCGCTTTTGAAACTAAAATATGGAAAGACCTTTACTTGTCAAATTGTTAAATAACATAATTTATTAATATTAATTGTTGAAATGGTTGGATCGAGAAATCGACGATAACATTTAATTAATCTTATATTTTAATTAAATCCATATTTCAGCAGTGCAACGCAAGTGACAGATGAAACCAGAGAGAAAAAACAATGTGACGTGCGCTGGTTTTTCCCAAAGCGATAATAGATGGCGCTACGTGTTCCCTTTACATAAATATGATTATTAAATTTAACCTAATTACAATAATAATAATAATAAATCTTTTATTTTCAGGTATATACCCATAGTTTACTGTTATTGCGAAGATAATTTAATTATAATTAAATGAAAAGTTGAGACTTTGTCGTGGATTTCCAAATAATACTCATTTGTTTTTACTTTTATTAATGTATGTATGTAATGTAACTTTTATTATTTATTAATATATTATTAATGTATAAATTTATACAAAATAAAATAATAGTTCTTATTTAATTATATACTTATTGTAAGCTGATTTGAAAGATATATCGACCCAAAAGCTAGCGAAAGTATTTAAGAAATGAAATAACTTGTCCCAACATAATTTGATACACAAAAAATTTTATCTTCCATACAAATCATGGTTATGTGATCTATTTAGTATAATATGTCCAATTTTATGAATACATAATTGAAAGTGCTATATGTTCACAGTTTTAGTAAAATTCTATCCAAATTGTTTTATCATCACTTGGAATAAATTAGAATTTTATACCATTATTATTTCAGTAAATGTATATTTTAATTAAAATACTCAAATATTTTTTTTTAATTAAATCGATGTATTATTTTCATAAATATATTTATAAAAGTGACTTTATATATTATATATTCTTTATTGCACTTAAGCAATACATGTGACGATTAGTTTAACAACTTGTTAGCAAGGGAGGGCTTATCCCTGAAAGAGATCTCTTCCAGCCAACTCAGTGTATTTAGAGAGAAAATAATTTAATTTGGGTAATCCAGTGCAGGAAAGGTAAAGGTAAAAATAATGTAAATACAGCAAACACTATTGTGAATAAATATACGTGTATATTAAAATATTTTATCACGTTCGAGTGCTCGAAACGAAGTAGTGCACTTATAAATTTGTTTGCTATAGTAATTTCCAACGACAAAGGTCGACTCCAATAGGATTTGTGAAATTTGGTAAAATGAATGAACGATTGTTGGTGTTCTTTTTTTGTAGTTATAATAATATTTTTAAATGAACCGTATTGCCACATACAACGTTGTGACATTGTCTCGGTGGATAATAACTTGTTCACATTGAATTGTGCAGGGTGCAACCATTGATGTAAAATTACTTAAGATGTAGTAGAATCAAAAACAAAAACGCTTCAACATCTACGTGTGTGTGTGTGTGTGTGTGTGTGTGTGTGTGTGTGTGTGTGTGTGTGTGTGTGTGTGTGTGTGTGTGTGTGTGTGTGTGTGTGTGTGTGTGTGTGTGTGTGTGTGTGTGTGTGTGTGTGTGTGTGTGTGTGTGTGTGTGTGTGTGTGTGTGTGTGTGTGTGTGTGTGTGTGTGTGTGTGTGTGTGTGTGTGTGTGTGTGTGTGTGTGTGTGTGTGTGTGTGTGTGTGTGTGTGTGTGTGTGTGTGTGTGTGT